TATAAAAGAAAGAACTATTTATTCTGTTATTTTTTAATCTGCGGTATTAATATAAATTGATTGTTGATACAATACCTCATTTAATATAAAATAATATTCTACTTTTTGAAATGTATCTGGCCCTAATTGTACCTAAAAGTAATATATTTTTACAGTGATATACCATATTGTATAACTATTGAATATTTCAGTCACTTAAAAAGTTAATTTGCATTGAATAATTGCCTACGATCAAAGGAAATTTGAGCTATATAATCCTTGATGGGCATATTCTGGGTATGCAAATACTTCCTCTAAATTTTGGATTTCGTTCAACCGATTTATTCTCAAAACCTGAAACATCTACATATAAAAAGAAAAGCACAGGTCACTAATTATAATAAACTTCACCCTTGGAATTACTTCTATCACAATTACAATACATTCATCTGCATTGGCATTTTCTACTTTTCCATGGGAAACAATATAATTCCCAACATTTTTTAAATGATGTAACAATTCCTCTTGTGGTTACTTTTCCATAGATATCCTCATCTCTGTCCTCATGTGAATTCAGAGGCAATGAACATAAAAATTATTTACCATAAACATCGCAAACTAAAAACCTAATAAACAATTTTATACCGAATATAGAAATAAATTTAGTATTCTTACCTATTATCACAGAATATCTTGCGTAGCTAGATATTCTGTGCTATTATGGTCCAAATCCATGTTAATAGATAATTATTATTTTTAAATATATTTTTGAAACTGCTGGTTTTAGTAATTATTAAATTAAACGAACTAAAAAGTCTTAAAAATAAACAATTCTTAACCATAACCCCAAAAAATGCAGATCTCCTGTCAACTTTCTTTATTTTTTATTTATTCATTATTTTCCTAGTGACGTCACAGGTGGTATGCGCGAACTGAACGAAATTGGAGCCGCTATCGATCATACCTTGTATTCTTTGTACCATGCACACGGGTCCGCAACAATACATATTTGTTAATACTAACAACCTTATGCTATTTTTTTACCAGATTGTGGTTTTAGGAATTATCTATAAATCTCGATCTGCTTGAACTTCACCAGTTTCTTCCATATTTTCTATTATCAATTTATTGTACTAAAATGTTAATATAATAAATATAACAGTAATATCATATAACTAAATTATAAATTAAGTACTTACACATACTTTTTTTCTTGTTTTAATTTCTTATAAATCGCATTCCATCAACAGATCTATTTCACAACTACTACTGTTGAAACTGATTCCCTTTTTCCATAAAGGTAAAATTAATTAACCTATACCTTAATAGAACCGGTCAGAGTTGAACACAAAATATATTTTAGTTGAATTTTATTGTTTTTATTTTCATTTTGACGATCTTTTGACAACTGAATAATAACCTCACTTTTTAATCTAACGATTTGAAATTCCCAGTTTTTGTCTCTGTCTGTTGCATAGACTTTTTATATATAACCATCTGAATTTCAGATATCTTATATTGGCAACACTTTCTCTACGGAGTGTCTAACGGTCCGTAGGCGGCCCGTCCTCCAAATTGTTATCTTTTGGATTATTTTGTATGAAAATACCCAAATGTTATATCCTATAGATAGCAGGCTCTAGATTGTTTATCTTTTAGATAGTTATTTGTTAGATAAAAGCTATTTATCTATAACTGAAAACACCGAGCCTTAGAGTGTTATTATTGTATTTTTACACAGGGTGTTACTTAATGACATACTAATATTTAAGGGGGTGATGTTTGAACCTGTTCTAAGAAAAAAAACTTCATATGAATGTATGTCCTAAATATGTTAACTTTTGAGATAGAGGGTGGTAAATTTTCTAAAACAACACTTTTTTTCATTATTACTCTGATATTATTACAGATATCTTTGATGTTATTACAGATGAACTCACTGACGACCAGGTCGCAACGACCTGGCCATTCGTTCGTTGGCTGGCCGGATGTATTGCCTACATAGCTGCGGCCAGATGAACGACCAGTTTCAACAGAGTTGTCAGATTTTTTAAGTTTTACCAATTAGAAAATATTGTTTCGGAAAAACTAAGTTTCAGAAATGTTAAAATATCCGAGTTAACTAAAAAGCGAAGTTCCTATTTATGAGCTTATTAAATGTTCTAATATTAAATAAAGTAATGTTTCTTCAAAGCCATACCGAGCGAAAATCACGAAAGAACTACGATATGCGGAGACAAAACTGAATAGAATATTAATAAACACATGATATCAATAAAGGACAAAAATAGTATTGTTCCTGAATTAAAAACAAGTGATTTATTTATGACTTATTTATATAATAAAAAACATAAATATTTAATTTTTTAACTCTACATATATCTTGGTATTTGTGTTAGGTACAGGGTATTGAATTAATCCTAGTAAAAATATAGTCTAATGGGCACTGTTTGAAAAACATTAAATATAATATTTAAAATACAGTTGTCCACCTTGTACAGGGTGGCTATCACTGGGATTTCGGAACCCGTAAGAGATACAGGATCGGTTAAATGGAGGCAAAGTTGCGCAATTTGATGCGCAATTAATAACAATATTCTGACACAATCCCCATTTTTCATAAATCGGAGTATACCAGGTGCGTCTCAAAAGTGGCTAACTTTTTATTTTTTCAGATAAAACAACGAGATTTGGTATGTTAGTATATGACACAAATTAGGATTGATTGACATATTCAATTGTTTTCGGTCACTTCCATCGGTCACAAATCACTACAACTTTTGATTTTTAAATGGCACCTTCTGTATTTTTTTTTTACTTTATTCGATAGAAAATGACACTCTGAATAGAATGACATATCATATGTCAGCTTTTGACATTTTCGCATATGAAATTGTAACCTGCGGTTCATAACGACAATTTGACTCGAAATACCTAGTGTGTAGTACCAAATTATTCGTAAAAAATGCTTTTTCCAAATATGCTTATGAGCCACTCTCGTTCCATTTGAAAAAATTGAGATATGATTAAAAATACGATTTGGGCATCTTTTAACCAGCCAGGACAAGACCAAGACACGAATGACATTAGACGATCAAATCTATTTTTCCAAGGCTCCTTGATTAAAAATTGGTGTTTTTATCACAGCCATGGTACTCTAGATTGAAATTTAAAATTCAATTTTGTTTTAAGCGAAAATGTTAAAAGTTGACATATGCTATGTCATTGTATTCATGTATTCAGAATGACATTTTCTATCGAATAAAGTAAAAAAATACCGAGGGAGCTATTTAAAAATCAAAAGTTCTAGTAATTTCCGGTGAAACAGGAAGTGGTCGAAAAGAATTGAATACGTCAATCATCCTAATTTATGTCATATACTAATATACCAAATCTCGTTTATTTATCTGAAAAAGTAAAAAAGTTATAGGGGTGAGCCACTTTTAAAACCCACCCGGTATACTCCGATTTCCGAATAAATAAATTTAACATATTTTTTTCTGGGCGAGAAATTGATATAAGTATACTCTGATTTACGAAAGATGATGATTGCGTCAGAATATTGTTGTTAATTTAAACACGAGATAAAAATATTTAACTTATTCATTACCCGACAATAAATACAATAAACTACTTATTTATACAGGGTGTTTCTTAATAACATGTTAATATTTAAGGGGGCGATTCTTAAGCTTATTTCCTATTTCAAGAAAAAAAAACTTCATATGACTGTATGCCCTAAACATCTTAACTTTTGAGTTACAGGGTGGTAAAATTTTTTAAAATAAAACTTTTTTTCCTATTAACTCTGATGTTATTAGAGATATTTTTACGAAATTTAATACACGTCTTCTATGAGATAAAAACGAATTTTTTGTTGTATCTCTAATTTCCATCCAGCCGATACAGAAAACAATCACCCCGTTAGATTTTTAGCAATATGATCCTAAAGTAATATAGCTTTAATTTTTTTAGGCAAAAACTACGGGTCGCATGAAAAGAATAATACAAATAATAAATACGGTTTTTATAGTAATTTAATGCAAATAAAACTTTAAAGAAACTACCGGGCACCACTGTAGTTAGTAGTTACGCCAATGCAAGGACACGAGTCGTCAGAATCCGCATTTAAAGGCGGACTCTCACGTCTGGTGTGCTTGTACAAACATTGGATATTGGCATTTACTTGCCATGTCGTGTGCGCGGTTTCCTTGTACAATTATTATTTATCACTCTATTTATCGAGGCAAGCTAGTTGCAAAAAAAAGTTGTTTACAAAGATAGTATACAGTTTGTCTGCTGGATCTGTGTCTATGAAAGGAATGCGGACAAAAAACATTTAAATAAACAGCAATATATTTTATACGTCGACTTGACGAGTACGTCACCGCAAATCGCTCCGCCCACTCATTTTATTGGCTACTTGCAAATTTGCCGAATTTTTATTGATGGACGCGTCGTCTAATTTTTTACGAAAAACATCGAGAGAATATCGCTTCCCCTCTCACGGATACCCCGTAGCCACAGAACGGACAGACGTACTGTACTTGCCAAGTACTTGACGAACATTTGTAATTGGTTTACAGGGTATACACGGTGCGCCGGGCATCTGTACAGAATTTCTATGTTATTTATTTTAGGAGCTACGCCGTACTCCCGGTGTACCCTGTATGCCAATAAAAATACTTGCCAAGTAAACGAGTCGCCAGAACGCGCCATAAAGGTATTGCTCTATTTTTCGACATTGATCAACCATCAAATCTCTAGATTGATCTAAACCATTTTCAAATACTTGTATTATTTCTCAACTTAGTAAACAACTATATTTTTATTATAGAAGAAATGTAATGTGCTAATAACGAATGTAGCGTAATAACATTGTGGTAGAACAGATATTAAATTTTGAAGTTGTCATTTTTTGAAGTTGTACGTTTTAACATCTCAATATAGTGCAGTTATTCAATAAAACCAACATTAAAAAAGTTGATATGTATATTATGATTTAGATAAATAAATTTTAGGTTGTGAAAATGATGTTATCCCTAATATAGAGTCAGATAATAGGGAACTAGCTTCAAAAGATACTGTTTCTACTGTTGTCTTAAATAAGAAAAAGCCTAATGACTTACAAGCAGAAAAGGAGTTAGAGAAAATAGCGGAACAAAATTTGTCTATTCCGAATTTGAAAGAAAATGAACAAGGTCCTGGTTATTTTAAATTGAAACATAATTTTACAAAAAGTGATTTTGTAAATAAGAATGTGATTGATGATAAGTTATCACATTCAGTTCCAACTTACTTTGATCAATTTTCTGACAGAGGTATTGAAAAAATCTATACATGAAATTATAAATATATAATATTCTTCTACAGATTTAAGGATATCACCTTTGTGTGTAGATAAAGATCAAAGTGACGATGTCTTTGAAATGGAACATCCAATTAAATCATCAACTGAAACTGATTTAATGAATATTTCACTTAATAGTTATGAACTTTTGGATTACACGTTACAAAATACCACAAATGTATTACCTGAATATGAAACTATTGATATGCATGTTAGTTTATCAGAAGAAGTTAATGAAAATTTGAAAGTTAATTTGGGTAAAGATTCTACTTTTAGGCTTTGAGATTTATTATGTTCTAGTTAATATCATTTTTTATCAGATGGTAAAGAGTTTGTCCCTCCAGCAATAACAGAAAATATATCTGTAATTGAAAGTCCAGAAACTAAGCCAGCTGAAGAGCAAATTGTCTTTAGGAGACAAAGGAAGAAAAAGTCAAAATCTGATACCCCCAAAAAGAGAGTCTCATTTCACGAAGATATTTTGAACAGCACAAAAATTGATGATATTCATATAAATTTAGGTTTTATCACTCATGAGCCAGATGTCTCACTAAGTTTTTTTCAAAGAGGATTTGTCCGTAAGCCTGATGTTGTAAAGGGAAGGTAAATATTCTAAACTTTTGTAGTTTAGTAAACTTAATAATCTAAACTGAAATAAATTGACACAAAGTTATATTTAATACAGATCATGGATTAAGTAAGCTTATTGTTATTTTAATACTTATAGATACAGCTGGGCTGCAGAAGGAGATGCTCCATTTTATGAAAAAGCAAATACCGATCGCGAAATAAAGTCAGATATATACATACACCATCCTAGATATTCATCAACATCTTCCAGTTCTACTGGAAGTGTAACTAGTTCAATTGATGAAGAAGACAGCGCATCAGATGAAAATATTCCAAAAAAAGAACCAACTCAAAAAATGCCCAAATCAAGTTGTTTGAAGAAAACTAAAAATAAAAAGTATATTAATACTGATATTGTTCAAGAAGAACTAACAAAGAAAAAATGTGAAAATAACTTGCTGGACAATAATATATTCGGTAGTTTGAAGAATATACTTAATTTTTCCACATCAGTTCCATTGGCCAAAAGAGGTAAATTAAAGTTAAAATATTTATACATTACAGACTATCTTTCTGATACATATTTCAGTAAATAATTTATTTGTTCTCTAATAGGTGTCCCTGAAGGCCAAGAAGATGTTACCATTTACTCTTCTTCTCATGATATTTCAAACAGACGCAAATCCTTTGGTAGTTTTTCTTTTGAAAATACCGAAACTGTTGAAGTGGCTGAAGTTAAACCTGAACCTATTAACAAAGTAAACTCAAATTTATTTGTTTGTAATTGAAGTTACGTTTATTATGTATGCCTATTTTAGATACATGTAGCTAAAAATAATCTGAAACTAACAAAGAGCGAGGGTTTTTATCCGAATTACCAACCTAATCGGGATCTTCCTGCCAATATTATATTATGTGATAATCAAGTTTACGAACACAAGGGAATTAGCTACTCTTATGAATATGATAATTTTCAGAAAGCTTTTGAACAACAAAACAAACCTAAGAGTTCTGTTATATATCAGAAAATCTTAAAGGAGTTAAATTTTTTTCGCAGGTAAACTTTTCATATTAATAAGGTCAAATTGAATGATTAAAACCATTAGACAAGTGTTATAGGCTAATGTTGAAACATCTAAATGTTTCAATCGCATCAATTAAATAAGAGGATTAGTTTTAAACTTTGCATATTAGAAAGTTATATTTCGATCAACAATGATTGAAATGGTTAGCTATTCTGATTTTGATCGTTTTTTTTGCAATATATTTAAAAATTCGCATATTTATTGTCTGTGATCCCTAGAGTCAAAACAAATTAAATAATATGATTATTTTTTATGATACTTAAATTCTTTTTCATAATAATGTGGGACTAATCAATACTAGATGAGAAATAAATGGATTTAAGATAATAAAATATATATATATATATATATATATATATATATATATATATATATATATATATATATATATATATATATATATATATATATATATATAATATATATACTAAGCGCTGGCAAAGGGTTACTCTTGAGTCGAGATTTCCTTAAGTTAGAAGAGTACAATGCGTTTATAATATACTGATCAAAGAGAGAACAGGAAACACGTTGCCAAACGCACGAAATAAACCGAGAAACTGCGCACATTGCTAAGAGACGTGGAAGGGGATATAGCAGATTTGTCGCAGTCCACCGGTCGACCCAATCAGTACCACATCAGTACCTAAAGTCCTAGGGAAAGGTGTACATCATGAGTTCAGCTTCACGATTTAATTACGTCTCGTGATATTTTATTTGTTTATTTATTAACGAGTCGTTGTAATTTTCCCCAGAGCTTGAAAATTTTTAAGTGCAAGTTAGAAACACTTGCATTTTTGGTAAAAATAAGTGGAATTGAGTTGGTATCGACAGTGGTCGCGCTATTAGAACTCTTAATTCAAAATGAATCGATATCTCAAAATCTATTAAAAATAATTGATTGCCCTAACGATATCCTTATAATTCCATTTCCGATGCTCAGAAACATATCTAATGATTTTATCTAGTTATATTTTCGAAAAAAAACTCGTTTAAAAATAAGCGGTTTGCAATCGTTATTTTACTTCACCTGATAAGGAAAGGCGTACCGGCGCGGCGACGCCGCAACAGCACACCGTCGCGTTTCTCTCACTGCGACTTAATAAGATCCCTATGCGATTTACTTCCACACATGTAAGTTCCGACCCAAAAGTAACAGTTGCCAGCACGGTATATCGAGAAATTATGTTTCGCTCGTTGAATTTTACACTTTTTATCAGTTTAATGATATATTTTGGTAATTTTGTGCTTAGGCGTAAAACTACTTCTATCGTCAATCACGTCGTAAAAAATAATACTTTTGTGGCGGATTGTCTGAGGAAAAATATAAAAAACTGAATTTTGTCTACTTTTATTTTGTATTAAAGTATTGTTTCTGAAAATTTTATATTGTTGGAGATAGAAGCAAAAAAAAACGAAAAATAAATGCATTTTTTACATTTTTCGCGTTTTTATGTCTATGTATTATTTTAGTTTTTTTATAAAATCGAGTTTTAAGTATAAAATTTTGTGAATTATCTCTCGATAATTCATGATTTAGAAGCATTATATTTGGAATGAGTGTTTAAATATTCGTTTGTTAACGATGTCACTATATTGATATTGTTACGTTTTTCGTCGGTTCCGTGTGGATAGATCGTTAGGTGCATAGAGAAGGTTTCGATTGTTCTCGTATACTCAATTCCAGTGGAACTCGATTTTTCTCTAACGTCCGAATGAATCATTACGGTGTTTATTCTTTAATGTGATGTTAAGGTCATCTGAGGGCGGGACATATAGTTAGGTTAGGTCGAGTCCACACGGGTCCGCAACAATATTAATGTTTCTATAACAAATTGTTTTTAATTATGTTTTATACACAGTGTGACCTGTATTCCGGTCGACCCAATCAGTACTTAAAATTCTAGGAAAGGGTGTACATCATGCGTTCAGCTTCACGATTTAATTACGTCTCGTGATATTTTATTTCTTTATTTATTAACGTGTCGTAATTTTCCCTGTAGCTTGTAAATTTTTAAGTGCAAGTTAGAAACACTTGCACTTGGTAAAAATAAGTGGAATTGATTTGGTTTTTGACAGTGGTCAAACTTTCTTGTTATGTTTCTGTTATATTTTCTTCGCAGACAAAAAAGTTACATGATTACTGAACATTGCCATGCACTAAATAAAAATAAAAAAGTAAATGAATGTTATTTTTTTAATTTCGAATGGAAAAAAACAAGCCTATCGAATGTCTTTTATTTAAACATCTTGTAAAAGATCCGAACTTCAAAATAAAAATTAGAAGTTTCAATATCTAAAATGGTTCTTGAGTTATCGCGTGTTATGTGTTAAAAAGTTGAGTTTTTAAATTATCGCGATTACTGATGCTTTCTCGTTATAAAAAAATGGACGCCCTAACGATATTCTTATAATTCCATTTCAGATACTCAGAAACATATCTAATGATTTTACCTAGTTATCTTTTGGAAAAAAAAGTACTTTAAAGATAAGCGGTTTGTGATCGTGATATTACTTTACTTGATAGGGAAAGGCGTACCGGCAACACCGCAACAGCACACCGTCGCATTTCTCTCACTCCGACTTAATAAGATCCCTATTCGATTTACTTCCACTCGTGTAAATACCGACCCAAAAGTAAGAGTTGCCAGCATGATAAAAATAATATTTAAAATATATATAATATTTAAGATAATCTGAAGGTATTGTAATTTAATTATGGAATAAGTTTATTAAAAAAATATGGGTTAAATGGGTTAAATTATATGTGCTTCTAATAAAGTTTGATAATAAAATACATATTAAGTAAAAGTAAAGAAAAGCCAAAAAAATGACGTTAATGAATTGACATTACATTACATTGACATATTTTGTAAAATTTGATAATTTGTTTAAGCATCAGTACCAATTACTAATCTTAAAATCTTCTACCACAGTGTTACCAACTATTTCAGTCGTCGATTGCTGCGTATTTTACCTTATAGGATTGTCTTGTATTTGTTCCTTTCAAGTCTAAATGTACTAATAAATATGCTTTGTTCGAAAGATTGAACGCTTATAGGGATTTAAGTATTCCTTGTAAAATTATTGTATGTCACACTAATATACTAAGGTTGATATCATTTTAGTATGATTAAATATTCATTATCATTTCCAAATAGGAAAGCTAAAGATGAACCTGAGAAGGAAGCTGAAGAAGATTTCGAAATTATTAACCAAACCTTAACACCTACCAACAGTGACGTTTTAATAGAAGAAGTCTCAGAAGTTGAAGTTAAAGAGTCAGATGGAAAGCTTACGTGTAGCACACCAAAAAATAACATGGATAAGTTTATATCTTCTGTTAAGTTAGATTGGTCTGATAATGAAACTGTATCTGATCTGTCTGAATCTCGTCATTCAAGACATCTAGATTCTCCTAAAAAGAAGGTGTTAAGAAATAATCATTATACTATATGCCAGTCTCCTTTAAAAGTAAGTGAACACGCATTATTTGTTTTCTAGTCACTATAAGGGGTGACGATTGAGTTACACATTTCAATATAAACTCTCTCTTGTAAATATCCTTAGATACAGTAGGTTTTAATGGTATAATGTGGAATAGTCTAGGAAGTTGCGATCGCCACGAAGTTAGCAGATTTGTAACAGTTGTTTAAAAAATAATTAGTATCTAATAATCATGTACCGGGTGGCCAACTAAGAATGGACGCCGGCTCTATCTCCGAAACTACTTATCGTATTGTTACGTTTTTCATCGGTTCCGTGTGGATAGAAAGTCACAATTTATTTAAACACTATTTATTTAACACTAATTAACAAAACTAATAACGATAAACGACTTATAGAACTATTTACAAACGATTTATAACTAAGAATTTATTTTGAATTTTAGCGCGTCAACTGTATATTTATAACTGCCCTCTCTAGGCCACTGCCGCCGGCTGTTATACCGACAGGTAAAAGAAATCTAGAATAGTCCAAAGATCGTTAGGCGCATAGAGAAGGTTTCGAATGTTCTCGTATGTACTAGTCCATTCTAATGGGTCTCGATTCTTCTCGAACGAATGAATCATTGCGGTGTCTATGCGATGTTAAGGTCATCCGAGGGCGGGCCATATTGTGAGGTTAGGTCGAGTCCACACCGGCTCGCAACACTGCCCCCTTCTTAGGCACATGCTCGTCCCGAGATGTATACGGTGAATGAAGGTATTTGCAAAGCTGGCCCCTGGTACATTGCGAAGTCTGGTAGAAATAGCAGTCTACAGTTTTCTCTCCCGATCTCAGCTTTGGGTTGTAGCAGCAAACGAGGATCTCGATTCCCGTAAATCTGAACAAGACTTCAATCATGTTCCGGATTGTACGCCAACTCAAACCATCGAGTCCACACGCCAGCTTCGGAATGGCTAATCGTGCAATGTTGTTGTTTAGCAGGGCTTCTCTCAGTTCAATCAGGGTCTTCCATAGATTGAGATAAGTCGGCTTACTCGGGGACCATTCCTTGGTGACCAGGTAGAAGATGTGCCTTGCTTGACCATGTGCATTGTCGGTTAGCCTCAAGACGCTTCCAACCTCTGGATCCTGTCGGCGTAGTTCTCCGACACGCCCAAACTTCTCATTGAACGTCGCAGCGATTCCTCTGGACATCCGCAAATCTCGAGCCACACAATGAGCGAGCGAATAATCAGGAGGCACGGAAAAGAGGTCTCGTTGATCTTCTTTGGTTACACCATAGCGAGCCTTCTCACTGCTGTTGTATCGGGCCATGAAATCGTCAAAGGACATCTCCGAATCAGGGGGATCAAAGCTGCAGGTTCTCACGGTCCCAGCACGATCTTCTATTTCGCCTTGGTAGGGGCTCAAACGGTTGAAATGGACTACCCTCGGTTTTCCTTTTGGCAATTTTCTGATACGGTATACGACGTCATTAATTCTATCCATGACTTCGTATGGCCCTTCCCACGAGGATTGTAGCTTCGGAGATAACCCACGACGTCTCTGCGGGTTATATAGCCACACCAACTTCCCTGGTTGGTATCCTCCATGCTCAGCTTGAATGTCGTAGTGTTCCTTCATTCGGTCACTAGCACTTTGAATATTTAGGCGGACTCTCTGATGAATGTCGTCCATCCTTTGACGTAGTGTGTGGACATAATCTTCTCCGGCGACTTCTTCTCCCGGTCGGCAACCAAATTTCAGATCACAGGGTAGGCGCACTTCCCGTCCCATAACGATGCTGGCTGGAGTTTGCCCTGTAGATTCTTGGACGGATGAACGGTAGGCCAACAGGAACAGGTGAAGAAATTTGTCCCAGTCTCTTTGGTGGTCAGAGACTACTTTGGCCAGATAACGGTTGATAGTTCTGTTCATGCGTTCAACCATCCCATCGGATTGTGGATGTAGAGCAGTCGTCCTGGTCTTGCGGATGTTCAGGACTTCACAGACGCCTTGGAACAGATTGGACTCAAAGTTTCTTCCCTGATCTGAATGAAGCTCCATGGGAACACCAAACCTGCAGATCCATTCTTTAACAAGGGCATCAGCAATCGTGGACGCTTCTTGATTTGGCAACGCGTAGGCCTCGACCCATTTGCTGAAGTAATCCATTACTACCACAATGTATTTGTTGCCATCGTTCGTCTCCGGGAAAGGACCAGCCACGTCGATCGCTATTCGTTCGAAGGGACTACCAACATTGTACTGGCGCATAGGGGCTTTACCACGCTTTTGTGGCCCATTAATGGCTGCGCAAATGTCACATTTCTTACACCAGGCCCTCACATCTTCTTTGCAGTTCACCCAGTAGAACCGTTCACGCAGCTTGCCAAGTGTCTTGGTAACACCAAGATGTCCTCCGCTGGTTCCATTGTGAACTTCCTCCAAGACTTCTGGGACCCTCTTCTTTGGAATGACGATCTGCCTTCTCTCTTCTTGTCCCTCCGGTCTCTCGATCACACGGCGAAGTAGTCCGTTATCTATTACCAAGGAATTTCACTGGGCCCAGTACGACTTTACGTTCGGCGAATATCTGCAAACTTCTTCCCACGTTGGTCTTTGGCCTGTGTTTTTCCAGTTAATTACTAAACCTAATTCTGGGTCACTGGTTTGGTCATTTGCAAGATCTTCGGGTTGCCAACTATCATTAACCACAGTTGTTCTTAGGAGTTTCACTTCTTTCTCTTCTGCTCGGGAACAATGCTTACAGTCCTTAGCGCAAGGTCTTCTGGAAAGTGCGTCGGCATTTCGATGGATTGCCCCAGCTCGATGTTCTGTGTCGAAGTCAAATTCTTGTAATCGTTCAATCCATCTAGCTACCTGCCCTTCAGGATTCTTAAACTGCAACAGCCATTTCAAAGCAGCATGGTCTGTTCTTAACAAGAACTTTCTTCCATAGAGATACTTGTAGAAGTGTTCCACTGCTTTAACTACTGCTAGTAATTCTCGTCTGGTTACACAGTAGTTCCTTTCCGGTTTTGACAAGGTCTTACTAAAATAACCAATGACTTTTTCTTGACCATCCTGGATCTGAGACAGAACAGCGCCTAACGCAACATTGCTAGCGTCGGTATCCAATATAAAGTTTCCGTTGCCAAGAGGGTAGCTAAGTATGGGCGCACTAGTCAGGGCCTTCTTCAATTTTCGGAATGCCTCGTCAGAATCTGAGTCCCAAGAGACACCTCGCCTTCGGTAAGTCTGGTCAATGGTTTTGCGATGGTGGCAAAACCCTGTACATAGCGGCGAGAGTATGTGCATAGTCCCAAAAAGCTTCGTAGTTCATGTTTATCTTTAGGTATCGGCCACTCTTCCACTGTCTTGGTCTTCTATGGATCTACCGCAACTCCTTGGGAGGAGACTACATGGCCCAAGTAGTGTACCTTTTCTTGACACAGATGACATTTCTTGGGGCTAAGTTTCAAACCAGAGCTCCCTAGTCGCTTGAAAACTTCTTCCAAATTCTTCAGATGATCGTCAAAGGATTTCCCAACCACTATGATGTCATCCAGGTACACTAAACAGGTAGTCCAGGATAGTCCCTTTAACACAGACTCCATTAGTCTCTCAAAGGTAGCTGGCGCGTTGCACAATCCAAAAGGCATGACGGTAAATTGCCACAGTCCGGAGCCCACCGAGAACGCTCTTCTCTCTGTCTTTCGGCGCCATGTCGACTTGCCAATATCCACTCTTCAGATCTAACGTAGAGAATATCGTTGACCCCGCCAGTGTGTCTAGAGTATCGTCTATCCTCGGCAGGGGATAGCTATCCTTCTTGGTACCATTATTGAGCTGCCGATAATCAACACAGAATCTGGTGGTACCGTCTTTCTTCTTTACTAGTACTACCGGCGATGTCCACGGGCTGTTAGATGGTTCGATGACACCCTCTTCTTTCATTTCTCGAAGGATTTTATCAGCTTCTTCACGTTTGGCGAGCGGAAGTCTTCTCGGATTTTGTTTGATTGGTCGTGCTTCTCCGGTATCAATTTTATGTTGTACTAAATTGGTACGACCTCTGTGTCCTGCTTCTCCTTTATCAAACACATCTTGATACTTGATTATCAGGTTTCCCAATTTTCTACTATTTTCGGGAGATAATCCCTTAACGTTTACTAACTCCTTCACCATTTTGTCCGGAATTTTTGAAGTCGAAACTTTGGAGGCTTCCACGCTTCGAATGACTGAGGAGACCGAACAACAGTACCCTAACAGGGTTCCCTTCTTCAAGGATACAGAATAATAATTCGTATTCATTACTCTCACCGGTACAGTTTTCTTCGCTCGTAGCAGGGCTTTTCCAACAGCGATCCCTCGTCCTATTTCGCTGTCATGGTTCCTTGGCTCCAACAGAATAATACTCCCATTATTCATTTTACCTTCCAGGCAACCATCCAAAAATACCTCACAGCGCTCAGGGATCGAAACATCTTCTGCTACTACCACGCGAAGCGTCTCCTCACATTTTCGATGTAGAACCACTTATTCCTCATTTATTTTCAAAATTCCCTCTTTGAAGTTTAGGTCAAAACCTTTAGTGGTCATGATGTTCATTCCGAGAATAAGTTCATCTTCGATATCTGCTACTAACACTGGATGTTCAAAACTGGTGCTCCCAATAACAAAATTAAGATTTACTTCTCCATGGACAGCAGCGGAGCCCCCCGTAGCAGTACGTAGTCGCCATTGTGTTGTTTTAACCTTCTTCGATGTTTTAAGAATGTCCGGTCTGATGATAGTTTTCGTCGCACCTGTATCCAACAGCATGGTCCGGAACTCTCCATCAACAAAACCATCCACAAAAATGCTGTTGAATTTGTGTTGTAGCGAGGCGACTTGAGCAGTTTTCGTTGGGGCATGTTGGGTACAGGTCGACGTGTGCCCCTTCATTTCGACCCTTAGTAGTTTTTCGACCTCGACGAAGCCGGTTCTTCGTTCTTCTCCTTACAACGGCTTCGCACGTGTCCCACCTGTCCGCAGTTCCAGCAACGAATCGGTCCCTTCTTGCCCATGTACTGGTCCATTACCTTCCGAACAATCCCTTCCACGGATTCGTCGGAACATTCGTCGATGGCCCGTACTCTTCCTAAAGACCGAGAACTTTGTTTCGCGGCCTCAAATTCTAGGGCACGTGCTAAAGCATCCACCAAGTGCGTTGGGTGGGCTAGGAGAAGTGCTTGTCTTGTCTCGTTATCACGTAAGCCGTCGGAGAATGCCTGTACTGCCAACCGCTCCATAACATTCTCTGGCGTAGCAGGGTACGCAAGACGAACGAGGCGGGCTACGTCGGCTTCAAACTCCTGCAGAGACTCATTTGACTTTTGAATGCGATTTTTTAGCTGGGAATGATAGACATGTTCCAAATGAGCTTGGCCGTACCTCATTTCTAAATGTCGTACCAATTGCTGATAATTTCCCTGTTCCGATGGTGACAATGTCTGCAGGATATCAGTCGCATCTCCTCGCAGTGCGACAGTCAAAGCGGTAGCCTTTTCAGCGATTGTCCATCCGTTCGCTCTCGCAGCGGCCTCAAACTGGCAAAAATAATTGGCCCAAGCGGTTTTTCCGTCAAACTGTGGAGGCTTAATAACTGACTTTGAGATATACTTATTTTCGACTAGTTTCGGTGCCTCCGATGTTTCTTGACATTTTGGTGAATTGGCCTTTTCTATTTCTTGTTTTAAAATTTCGATTTTTTATTTACATCGTCCTCAATTTGTGTTATTTTGTCTTGTAGCTCCGTAGAATTCTCTATAATCTTTTCTTCTAATTCCTTGGAATTTTCTGTTATCTTTTCTTCTAAATTAAGTATTTTATTATTAAAGCTGGCCTGTATGTCTTTAGAATTTTCTGCGATCTTATCTTCTAAAATATTAATTTTATCACTGATTTTCTCTTCTAAATTAACTTCCAAGTCAATTATTTTACTATTCAAATTTCCGTTTAAATTGTCTTGCAATTCCCGGGAATTTTCTGTAATTTTGTCATTCAAACTGTCTTCTAATTTTTGAGAGTTTTCCGTCATTTTAGCTTCTAATTTTTGTAGGCACGAGTCAAGGTCACCTTCGAACTCAAAGCAAAATGTGTCCGGATCCTCGCCTTCCTCCCTCAAAACGTCTCTCAGTCTGGTTTGCAAAATGCTTTTCTTTCCATCTGTCTCGCACTCTCTCTCTTCCAATATGGATTTCAGTTCGGACACTTTCAAGTCTTTCAACAATTTCTTCGGAGCCATTGTTAGTCTTTTTATTTTTCTAGTCTATCACACACCCCACACCTGACACCAATTGTTACGTTTTTCATCGGTTCCGTGTGGATAGAAAGTCACAATTTATTTAAACACTATTTATTTAACACTAATTAACAAAACTAATAACGATAAACGACTTATAGAACTATTTACAAACGATTTATAACTAAGAATTTATTTTGAATTTTAGCGCGTCAACTGTATATTTATAACTGCCCTCTCTAGGCCACTGCCGCCGGCTTTTATACCGACAGGTAAAAGAAATCTAGAATAGTTCAAAGATCGTTAGGCGCATAGAGAAGGTTTTCGAATGTTCTCGTATGTACTAGTCCATTCTAATGGGTCTCGATTCTTCTCGAACGAATGAATCATTGCGGTGTCTATGCGATGTTAAGGTCATCCGAGGGCGGGCCATATTGTGAGGTTAGGTCGAGTCCACACCGGCTCGCAACAGTATATTAATATATCGTACAGTTGGAAAGATGGTGAAACACCAGTACACCTCATCACTGAGTGCGCCGAGACGACAACCATTCGTGCCATGAATTTTGGTACGACTGATATTGGAGATGGAGAACTACCCTCTATAAAACCGTCCCAGATACTGGCTTTTGTCAAAGCCCTGGGACTGTATGATGAGTTATGATTCAAGAAAGGGGGACACAATGGATCTGTAAGGTCGAAGTGATTAACCCCCCTCCCACTCATTCTAAATATCGTACAGTTAAAAAGAGCACAATTTTTTCAAAATATCAGCGCAAACCGCAATTTTCTATCATCTCTCTAACGGGATATATTAAGAGAACAAATCATGTTAGGTTACCGCCTAAGATTACAAGGTCTAAAAAATATAGAAGTAGGCTAGGAAACAAAAAGAGGTAAATTAGTTACATAAAAATATTAAAACGTTTAAGTTTAGTTTTCAACTGTGCAAATATAAACATAACCTGCTATTTAATTTTTTAAGCAAAAGCGCAATATCTGTTATGTCAAACTGGTTACCACTATGTTAGCAATCTATGGAAATACATTTTATACTGGAGATCATTAGGGATTATCTTTTAAACGAGCCCTAGTTTGTTTATATTGGCTAAAAAAGGTTTAACTTTCCCCAAAAGCAAGTTTAACTTTCCCCACCACCTTATTTTATGAAATGATCAAAATACGCTATATCAAAAAAAAATTCTCATTTATTACAATAGCAATATTTACAATAACTCTTCACCTGCATATTTTAAGAAATATCCTGTTTTTTTGATTCATCACAGAGGCAGCGGACATTTTTCGAACTTTAAATTAATTTCCACCGATTTCTCTTGGTTAATATTAATTATTTTTTAATTTATTACAATTTTTTCCCAAAATTATTTTTCTGAGATGTCATTTTATTATTCTGAGATGCCGCTGTGACCCGATACTCAGGATAATTTAATTTTGTCTGAAAAAGGATTCCCAGACGAGTCTCGACGATACTTTTTGGCTCATAAGTGCTTTAAGAGCCGTGTGACGGCATATATTGATGTGCTTACCTGCGAAAATTCTTCTGTTCTTTTCATTCGCGCATTTTAGAATGGCGAAGATTTCTGCCTGGAATACGGTTGAGTATTTACTCAAGAGGAATAACAAATATAGCTTCCTACAGCTGATTGTTGAGGGAAAGATTGAAGGACGAAGAGGCATCGGGCATAAACGGTTCTCCTGGTTGCGGGATTTGTGCCAGTGGTTTAATATAGGAGAGACCAGGGAGGAACAGAACAGTTTAATTTGACCCAGGGAGGAACAGTACAGTTATCCGTTTGAACAGGGAGGAATTCCAATTGATGGTCGCCAACCTCCCATGAGGAGAAGGCACATGAAGAAGAAGAAGATTTACTCAAAGAAAATTGTAAGCTTGCCCATTGTCTTCCCCAAATACTTCAACTCCTGTTCCGCCAGCGGTCTTTGACCTGTCTATATGCCATATTAGTCCATCCTTAGGGATTGACCTAATTTAGACTTGGTTAAACTACTTGAATAAATTACTAAATCACTCCTTGAAAGTTGGCTGTGATGTTTTGACCATCCTGTGTACTTGGTTTTTTAATATTTTTACATTTTAACAATAATATCAACAAATTTACCTATTTTCATACTACCTTGCATTCTATTATTATTGCCTATTATAACCTATTATTTTAAGCTATTATTTTTAATTAACAGTAAGATGTAACTTAACTAGTTGTTTTTTTGGATAGAACAGTTTTGCCCATCTCTACTTAATGTTGGATAGTTTTAGACAGAGTGTTCCATTTAATTTCTTTGTTAAAGCCTGTCCTATTTACGAGAAAGGGTTTTTGAAAACACGGAAGAGTTTAGACGCAATCGTCCGCATCTTGGTTGCCCCGCGATATGTAAGATATCATAAAATATATAACATCAAATCTATATAGGTACCACTTGCGGAATACAAAAGTCTTAACCAAACGGATGCTAGTAAATCTTTACCCAACTTAAGGACGTCCACATCAAAATCATCACTAATTAATAGGTTTTTGAGGAATGTTACTTTAAAGAAAATGGTAGATATTCAAACTCAGGGATATAGCAAGAAAATGAACAATTGCATAGGTTTATATGTCAAAGGGTGTAAGGTACAATCAAATATATATATCAACCACAACTTTTTATTTTAATTAGTGAAATTTTAAGGTTGCTCCTACTTGTAATAAAGAAATTGATCAGGTGATTGAAAATGAAATTATTTGTGGAAAGAAAAAACAGATAACCATTGAATATTGGGACAAAATTACTGCAACAAAGCTGAGAAAACAAATTTTTAGAAATAAAGAAGAAAAATTGTTGAAAGTAAATAAATCTAATTGTATAAGTATTAGGAAATATCATTTAAGAACTGATTTATATTTTCAGGTATATCCTATAAGAAGTGCATATGCCACAAATGGAGATAGTATTCCTCTTTTGCTCATATTAACTGACATAACATTGTATGTTACCAGTTTGAAACACGACAATGTTTTCTGCAATCATTTCATCTTGCCATATACAGACCTTAATGCAGTACTAATCGGTCCCAATGCTCAAGTCCTTCACATCTCTAACAATAATTTGGACATGCAATGCATGTTAACTACTGGTTGTTCTAAAATTGCAAATGATATAGTTAGCCACTTGGAAGTAGCTATGAGAAGGGATCTCAATAAACCTAAATTGCCAGCCATCAAACATCTTACCATGAGGGATATGGTAAATTTAAGAAAAGCTATATGTAAACAAACTGCTGTGGATAAGGTAATAAATATCAATAATTATGAAGAAAATATTGTTACGTTTTTCGTCGGTTCCGTGTGGATAGAAAGTCACAATTTATTTAAACACTATTTATTAACACTAATTAACAAAAACAATAGCGATAAAAGACTTATAGAACTATTTACAAACGATTTATAACTAAGAATTTATTTTGAATTTTAGCCCGTCAACTGCACTGGTATATTTATAACTGCCCTCTTTAGGCCACAGCCGCCAGTTTTTATACCTACAGTTAAAGTTTACTAGAATAGTCCATAGATCGTTAGGTGCATAGAGAAGGTTTCGAATGTTCTCGTATGTACTACTCCATTTCAGTGGGACTCGATCCTTCTCGAATCTTCGAATGAATCATTACGGTGTCTATGCGATGTTAAGGTCATCCGAGGGCGGACCATATTGTTAGGTTAGGTCGAGTCCACACCGGTCCGCAACACTGCCCCCTTCTTAGGTACATGCTCGTCCCGAGATGTACACGGTGAATGAAGGTATTTGCAAAGCTGGCCCCTGATACATTGCGAAGTCTGGTAGAAATAGCAGTCTACAGTTTTCTCTCCCGATCTCAGCTTTGGGTTGTAGCAGCAAACGAGGATCTCGATTCCCGTAAATCTGAACAAGACTTCAATCATGTTCCGGATTGTACGCCAACTCAAACCATCGAGTCCACACGCCAGCTTAGAAGATGTGTCTTGCTTGACCATGTGCATTGTCGGTTAGCCTCAAGACGCTTCAAACCTCTGGATCCTGCCTGCGTAGTTCTCCGACACGCCCAAACTTCTCATTGAATTCCTCTGGACATCCGCAAATCTCGGGCCACACAATGAGCGAGCGAATAATCAAGAGGCACGGAAAAGAGGTCTCGTTGATCTTCTTTGGTTACACCATAGCGAGCCTTCTCACTGCTGTTGTATCGGGCCATGAAATCGTCAAAAGACATCTCCGAATCAGGGGGATCAAAGCTGCAGCTTCTCACGGTCCCAGCACGATCTTCTATTACGCCTTGGTAGGGGCTCAAACGGTTGAAATGGACTACCCTCGGTTTTCCTTTTGGCAATTTTCTGATACGGTATACGACGTCATTAATCCTATCCATGACTTCGTATGGCCCTTCCCATGAGGATTGTAGCTTCGGAGATAATCCACGACGTCTCTGCGGGTTGTATAGCCACACCAACTTCCCTGGTTGGTATCCTCCATGCTCAGCTTGAATGTCGTAGTGCTCCTTCATTCGGTCACTAGCACTTTGAATATTGAGGCGGACTCTCTGATGAATGTCGTCCATCCTTTGACGTAGTGTGTGGACATAATCTCCGGCGACTTCTTCTCCCGGTCGGCAACCAATATCACAGGGTAGGCGCACTTCCCGTCCCATAACGATGCTGGCTGGAGTTTGCCCTGTAGATTCTTGGACTGATAAACGGTAGGCCAACAGGAACAGGTGAAGAAATTTGTCCCAGTCTCTTTGGTGGTCAGAGACTACTTTAGCCAGATAACGGTTGATAGATCTGTTCATGCGTTCAACCATCCCATCGGATTGTGGGTGTAGAGCAGTCGTCCTGGTCTTGCGGCTGTTCAGGACTTCACAGACGCCTTGGAACAGATTAGACTCGAAGTTTCTTCCCTGATCGGAATGAAGCTCCATGGGAACACCAAACCTGCAGATCCATTCTTTAACAAGGGCATCAGCAAATGGTGGACGCTTCTTGATTTGGCAACGCGTAGGCCTCGACCCATTTGCTGAAGTAATCCATTACTACCACAATATATTTGTTGCCGTCGTTCGTCTCTGGGAAAGGACCAGCCACGTCGATCGCTATTCGTTCGAAGGGACTGCCTACATTGTACTGGCGCATTGGGGCTTTACCGCGCTTTTGTGGCCCATTGATGGCGGCGCAAACGTCACATTTCTTGCATCAGGCCCTCACATCTTCTTTGCAGTTCACCCAATAGAACCGTTCACGCAGTTTGCCAAGTGTCTTGGTAACACCAAGATGTCCACCGCTGGTTCCATTGTGAACTTCCTCCAAGACTTCCGGGACTCTCTTCTTTGGAATGACGATCTGCCTTCTCTCTTCTTGTCCCTCTGGTCTCTCAATTACGCGGCGGAGTAACCCGTCATCTATTACCAAGGAATTCCACTGGGCCCAGTACGACTTCACGTTCGGGGAATATCTGGAAACTTCTTCCCACGTTGGTCTTTGGTCCGCGTTTTTCCAGTTAATCACTAAGCCTAATTCTGGGTCACTGATTTGGTCGTTTGCAAGATCTTCGGGTTGCCAAGTATCGTTAACCGCAGTTGTTCTTAGGAGTTTCGCTTCTTACTCTTCTGCTCGGGAACAATGTTTACAGTCCTTAGCACAAGGTCTTCTGGAAAGTGCGTCGGCATTTCGACATCGAGCTGGAGCAATCCTCCAGCTCGATGTTCTGTGTCGAAGTCAAATTCTTGTAATCGTTCGATCCATCTAGCTACCTGCCCTTCAGGATTCTTAAACTGCAACAGCCATTTTAAAGCAGCATGGTCTGTTCTTAACAAGAACTTTCTTCCATAGAGATACTTGTAGAAGTGTTCCACTGCTTTAACTACGGCTAGTAATTCTCGTCTGGTCACGCAGTAGTTCCTTTCCGGCTTTGACAAGGTCTTACTAAAAAACCAATTACTTTTTCTTGGCCATCGTGGATTTGAGACAGAACAGCGCCTAATCCAACATTGCTAGCGTCGGTATCTAATATAAAGTTTCCGTTGCCAAGAGGATAGCTAAGTACAGGCGCACTAGTCAGGGCTTTCTTCTATCTTCGGAATGCCTCGTCAGAATCTGAGTCCCAAGAGAAACGCCTCTCGCCTTCGGTAAGTCTGGTCAATGGTTTTGCGATGGTGGTGAAACCCTGTACATAACGGCGATAATATGTGCATAGCCCCAAAAAGCTTCTGAGTTCATGTTTGTCTTTGGGTATCGGTCACTCTTCCACTGTCTTGGTCTTCTGTGGATCTACCGCAACTCCTTGGGAGGAGACTACATGGCCCAAGTAGTGTACCTTTTCTTGACACAGATGACATTTCTTGGGGCTAAGTTTCAAACCAGAGCTCGCAAGTCGCTTGAAAACTTCTTCCAAATTCTTCAGATGATCGTCGAAGGATTTCCCCATCACTATAATGTCATCCAGGTACACTAAACAGGTGGTCCAGGATAGTCCCTTTAACACAGACTCCATTAGTCTTTCTAAGGTAGCTGGCGCGTTGCACAATCCAAAAGGCATGACGGTAAATTGCCACAGTCCGGAGCCCACCGAGAACGCTGTCTTCTCCCTGTCTTTAGGCGCCATGTCGACTTGCCAATATCCAGTCTTCAGATCCAAGGTAGAGAATATTGTCGATCCCGCCAACGTGTCTAGAGTATCGTCTATCCTCGGCAGGGGATAACTATCCTTCTTGGTAACATTATTGAGCTGCCGATAATCAACACAGAACCTGGTGGTACCGTCTTTCTTCTTTACTAGTACTACCGGCGATGTCCACGGGCTGTTAGATGGTTCGATGACACCCTCTTCTTTCATTTCTCGAAGGATTTTGTCAGCTTCTTCACGTTTGGCGAGCGGAAGTCTTCCCGGATTTTGTTTGATTTGTCGTGCATCTCCGGTGTCAATTTTATGTTGTACTAAATTGGTACGACCTCTATGTCCTGCTTCTCCTTTATCAAACACATCTTGATACTTGATTATCAGGTTTCTCAATTTTCTACTATCTTCGGGAGATAATCCCTTAACGTTTACTAACTCCTTCACCATTTTGTCCGGAATTTTTGAAGTCGAAACTTTGGAGGCTTCCACGCCTCGAATGACTGAGGAGACCGAACAACAGTACCCTAACAGGGTTCCCTTCTTCAAGGATACAGAATAATAATTCGTGTTCATTACTCTTACCGGTACAGACTTCTTCGCTCGTAGCAGGGCTTTTCCAACAGCGACCCCTCGTCCTATTTCGCTGTCATGGTTCCTTGGCTCCAACAGAATAATACTCCCATTATTCATTTTACCTTCCAGGCAACCATCCAAAAATATCTCACAGCGCTCAGGGATCGAAACATCTTCTGCTACTACCACGCGAAGCGTCTCCTCACATTTTCGATGTAGAACCACTTCTTCTTCATTTATTTTCAAAATTCCTTGTTTGAGGTTTAGTTCAAAACCTCTAGTGGTCATGATGTCCATTCCGAGAATAAGTTCATCTTCGATGTCTGCTACTAACACTCGATGATTAAAACAGGTGCTTCCGATAACAAAATTAAGATCTACCTCTCCATGGATGAGAGCGGAGCTTCCTGTAGCTGTACGTAGTCGCCATTGTGTTGTTTTAATCCTTTTTGATGTTTTAAGCATATCCGGCCTGATGATCGTTTTGGTCGCACCCGTATCCAACAGCATGGTCCGTAACTCTCCATCCACGAAACCATCCACAAAAATGCTGTTGAACTTGTGTTGTAGCGAGGCGACTTGAGCAGTTTTCGTTGGGGCATGTTGGGTACAGGTCGACGTGTGCCCCTTCATTTCGACCCTTAGTAGTTTTCCGACCTCGACGAAGCCGGTTCTTCGTTCTTCTCCTTACAACGGCTTCGCACGTGTCCTACCTGTCCGCAGTTCCAGCAACGAATTGGTCCCTTCTTGCCCATGTACTGGTCCATTACCTTCCGAACAATCCCTTCCACGGATTCGTCGGAACATTCGTCGATGGCCCGTACTCTTCCTAAAGACCGAGAACTTTGTTTCGCGGCCTCAAATTCTAACACGTGCTAAAGCATCCACCAAGTGCGTTGGGTGGGCTAGGAGAAGTGCTTGTCTTGTCTCGTTGTCACGTAAGCCGTCGGAGAATGCCTGTACTGCCAACCGCTCCACATTCTCGGGCGTAGCGGGGTACGCAAGGCGAACGAGACGGGCTACGTCGGCTTCAAACACCTGCAGAGACTCATTTGACTTTTGAATGCGATTTT